TCATAATCCTCTCGACAACAGGTTTTGAGAGTAACTTTTTAAAAATGTTTTTTTATTGACTTCAGGGAGGAAAGAAGAGGGAGAGAGACAGAAACATCAAAGATGAAAGAGAATCATCAATCAGCTCCCTTCTGCTGGGGACGGAGTCCACAACCTGGGACTGTGCCCTTGACTGGAATCGAACCCAGGACCCTTCAGTCTGCAAGCCAATGCTCTATCCACGGAGCCAAACAGCCTAGACCAGGGGTCGGCAAACCGCGGCTCTCGAGCCACATGCGGCTCTTCGGCCCCTTGAGCGTGGCTCTTCCACAAAATGCCGTGCGGGGGCACGTACAGTGCGACGGGAACCCCGTGGCCCACGCAGAAGCCGGCTTTCGGCCTGGGCGAGTCTGTGTGGAAGAAGTGGCGTTAGGACACGCACGGGGCCAAAGAGCCGCGGTTGGCCGAGCCCTGGCCCAGGGCTGGAAGGTCACGTGAAGTCGGTTCGCTGTGCTTGGTCTGAAGGTGCCCCCCCCCCTATTTCTATGCTGAAAACCTAACGGGCCAGGGGGCTTTGGGAGACGGGCCCTCGGGAGGTTCAGCCAATAGGGTTCGTGCTTTTCCGAAAGGGGCCCGCCCCGTCCTCCAGGGCCCTGACCTTGGCCTCCCAGCGCCCAGAGGGCGGGAAATAAGTCCTGTTCCTCATGAGCCACCCAGTCTGTTACGATAAAGACGGCAATGAGATGAGAGAAAGGGGGGGGGGGGGCAGGGCAAGAAAAACCCAGGGGTCACGTTCTCGGAGTCACAGGGGTCCCAGTCAACCAGGACCCCGGACGCCAGCCAGCGGCCCGTGCCTCCCAGCGCCATGGGAGGGGCAGGTGTCCGGGCGGTGCCCCCTGGTCTGCGGGTAAGTCACGGCGGCCGAGGGGCTGTCCCTGCAGGGCCCACAGGCAGGCGGCCCTCGGGGTCCTCCTCCCATGCTGGGGGCCCCCTGCAGGGCCTTCTGAGGGCCTCGCTCACTCACCAGATCCTGACACCCCCACGGCCCACCCCTCCCGCCCAGGCTCACCCCAGCCCTCCTGCAGCCTCAGCCCCATCTTTCCACCCTCCTCTGCCCCCGCAGGCTGGCATGGGGGATGGGGGACCGGGGACGGGGGACGGGGACAGGGATGGGGACCGGGGAGCTGCCCCCTCCTCCAGGCAGGCCTCAGAACCAATCAAAGGCTCCTCATCGTCCTCGCCCAGCACTTGGGTAAACAGACCCGGACGGGCACTACGGGCATTCGGCCCATTCAGTGTTTCCTGGTCCGTCTGCCCGGCTCAGCGCAGGGCCCGGGGGGCACGGACAGCATGGGAGCCGGCAGCACTCACGCTGTGGGAGCCGGGCTCAGGTGCCGGGCAGGCCTGGCTGGGGACCCCGGACTGGGCACACGCTCTTCTGCAGGCGGAGAACCGGGGAAGGAGCTGTGAGGGGGCAGCCGCTGCAGGGCACACAGCAATGCCCACCGACGGGGAGCCAGCGTCCCGCAGCCTGAGCTCTGGGCACCCAGGTCACACCCGGTCGTCCATGGCGTCCGCAGCTCGCTCTGCCTCCGGGGGCCCCTCCTGAGCTCCCAACCACACAGTCACCTCAGCCCAAACCTCCGTGCCAGCGAGGCTCCCACAGCCGGCGGGCTTCCCTTTGCATCTTGGTGCTGCGGCTGATCCTCAGCTGAGGACACTTCCCTCTGATTTTAGGGAGAGTGGGAGACGGAGGGAAAGACAGACACACATCGATGGGCTGCCTCCTGCATGGGCCTCCACAGGGCTCGAGCCAGGGAGGAGCCTGCAGCCCAGGCATGTGCCCTTGATCGGAATCGAACCCGGGACAATTTGGTCTGCAGGCAGGCGCTCTATCCACTGAGCCAGACCGGCCGGGTGGCTGGTCTTCGCCCTAGAACAGGCACTTCCTCTGAGGCTGGTGACCCGGTGTCTTCTCCTGCCGCCAGAAAAACAGGTTTCCCGAGGTGCCACCGGCCAGTGTTTTGTGTTGTCACACCCTGATGTTGACTGTAGGAGAATCAGCCGCCCGCCCTGGCCGCCCTGGCCTCGGGGCCAACAAAGACAGGTAGGCGGCCTGGAGCCCGGCCCAGCCCCCCTGGGCGGGACAAAGGGACGAGGGGGCATCCTCTGCGGGCGGCAGGCTTCCCGGTGCGGCCAGCAAACCGGGGGCGCCCACCGGGACTTCCTCGGAATGGGTCTGAGCAGAGGGACAAACAGCCGGTCTCTCCTGGGCTCCACTGTCCGAGGCCACTCCTCACCCACAAACTTAGCGGGGCCTCCAACAGGACACTTCCCAGGGCGGAGGCCTCCGGGCCGGCTCAGGACACGGAATGGACCCCTCCCCACCCCTTCCGTTTACCAGAGACCTCACAACTGCAAATGCGCCGACACTGCTCCCTGCTCCTCCCAGCTTTTCCCCTGCTGCCCACCTGACACTGCCCACAGCTGGCACGCACCTGGCCTGCCCGCTCCGCCCAGGGCCCAGGCGGGGCTGGGGCTCCGCTCTCGTGCACCCAGGCGGGCTAAGTCACACCGATGAGCCACACAGGCTCCAGGACAGAGGCGGCGGAGGGAGGGAGGCAGTCCGAGAAGGCTTCTCGGAGGAGGTGGCAGTGGAGCAGATGGCAAAGCATGATGGGAGTGACACCCATAGGGGGCATATGGCTCCCCTTGTTTTAAGCCTCACATCGCCCCACGGAGGCCTCTGGGGACCCCGGTGCCGGGAGGACTATCCCTGCCCAGACAGGTCCCACCGAAACCGAGACCAACTGGCCGCCAACTCAGAAGGTTTATTAAACGCTTCCGCCCGCTGCCGTGGCTCAGTGGCTGAATGACGACCTATACACCTGGAGGTCACGCTTCCGTTCCCCGTCAGGGCACACGCAGGCGAGGGGGCGGGGTGTGCCGGAGGCACCCAATCAATTATTCTCTCATCATTATGTTTCTCTCTCCCTCCCTCCCTTTCCCTTCTTCTCTCTGGAATCATTGTAAATATAATGTATATGCCCTGCCCAGGAAGGCATTCTGAGGCACTGGCGGAAAGTCAGTCTTCCTAGATACTTAAGACAAATTAAAACAAAACAAAACACACACACACACACACACACACACACCCCAACTAGCAACACTGAGCTTGCACAGCCTAAGGTGGGTTGGTGAGACTGGAGAACCACAGCTAAAGGCCTGTGACCTTGAGGTCCAGAAGATGGTGGGAAACCCCCAAATCCTGGAGTGAGGTGGCGGGAGGAGTGGAGGAGCTGTGGAACAATAGAAGAGCACGCTCAGCAGCCAGCGCCAGATCCAGGCCCAGCCGCGGCCTCAGGCAGACCAGGAGGGAGCAGGGCAACGCGGTACCGATCACACATTAGCGGTACCGATCACACAGAAACGCGCGGCTCCTGAAACCTGTTCCTCAGGGCGCCCAGGGGAGGCAGAATGAGGCTAAAGCGTCGCTGGCAGTGAACGCTTGGGCAGGCGTTCTCCACGCCCGGTTTGGAAACCTCATGGACCCATTTCACAGAATGGGCAAACTGAGGCCGCGCCGGGGAATAGCCCATGGAAGATGACACTGAGCGGAGGGCTTTGCTTTAGGCAGCATTTCACCGCCCTCCGGAACCTCAGTTTCTCCATCTGTAACGGGCCCTCCTAGGCCGCGGGGGTGGGGGGCGCCACAGGCCGCCGCCTCCTGATGAGGGCGGACCGGGCTGAGCGCCTGTGCGGGGAGCGGGGCGGGGGCCCAGCGGCGGAGAAACCCCGGCCCCGACGCCAGGTGCGCGCAGTTACAGCAGCGGCGGCGCGTCCGCCGGGCTCCGGCTGCACAGTCACAGAACCATCGGCGCCCCGATCGGCTCACAGACCGATCCGCCCCGAGGCCCCGCGGGCCGCGGCGGGCCCTGCGGTCACCGGGGCAGGCGGACCGGCTCCGGGTCCCGGGAGCAGGCCGCCCCGGTCCGCCCGCCGCCCCCCGGGTCCGCCCGCCGGGCCCCGCCGCCCCCCCGGAACCCCCCGTCCGCCCGCCGCCCCCCCGGGTCCGCCCGCCGCCCCCCGGGTCCGCCCGCCGCCCCCCGGGCCCCGCCCGCCGCCCCCCGGGCCCCGCCCGCCGCCCCCCGGGTCCGCCCGCCGGGCCCCGCCGCCCCCCCGGAACCCCCCGTCCGCCCGCCGCCCCCCCGGGTCCGCCCGCCGCCCCCCGGGTCCGCCCGCCGCCCCCCGGGCCCCGCCCGCCGCCCCCCGGGTCCGCCCGCCGGGCCCCGCCGCCCCCCCGGAGCCCCCTCGGCCGCCCGCCGGGCCCCGCCGCCCCCCCGGAACCCCCCGTCCGCCCCCCGGGCCCCCCCCGTCCGCCCGCCGCCCCCCCGGGTCCGCCCGCCGGGCCCCGCCGCCCCCCGACCCTCCCCCCGTCCGCCCGCCGCCCCCCCGGGTCCGCCCGCCGGGCCCCGCCGCCCCCCCGGAACCCCCCGTCCGCCCCCCGGACCCCCCCCCGTCCGCCCGCCGCCCCCCCGGGTCCGCCCGTCGGGCCCCGCCGCCCCCCCCCCCCCCCGGGACCGGCAGGTGAGCGGCCGCGCCCGCCCGGTTCCGCTCGGACTTCCCCGGCCCTGCCGGGCCCGGCGGAACCCCCGGCAGGTGCGCGGGGCCGGGGCCCGACGCCATGTTCCCTTCCCCGGGGCCGCCCGCCGGCTGCGCCCCGCGTCCCGGCCCGGCGCGCGCGGAGGTCCCGGCCCGGCGCGCACGGAGGGCCCGGCCCGGCGCGCGGAGGGGACGGGCCCGGCCCCCGGGCCGCGCGGGGCGGAGCGGACGGCGGTGCCCGTCCCCCGGGGGGCGCTCAGGCGGCGGGGACCCCGGAGCCCGCCGGGGAGGCTGTTTGGAAGCCGGGGCCCCGCGAGTGACACCCCGACGGCTGCGGGCAGGAGCTCCGGACACTCCCGCCTCCGGCCGCTCCGGGGCCGCTGCGGGGCGCGGGCTCCGGCGGGACCGCGGGGACTCACCTCGCGGCGGCGGTGCCCGGGGCGGGGGCGGCGGTGCCCGGGGGCGGGTGCCCCGGGTGGGGGTGTCCGGGCGAGGGTGCCGGGGCGGGGGCGGGTGCCGGGGCGGGGGTGCCCTGGTGCGGTGCCCGCGGCCGGGAGGCGGTGGGTGCAGCCGGCGCCCGCGCTCGGCTCCGTCTGAGCCCGGCCCCGCCCCGCCCCGCCCTGGCGCCGCCCCCGGGTCCGGGCCGGGCCGGGAGGAGCCGCTCCGCCGGCGCCTCTGCTTCGCTTTGGCCTCGGCTCCGCTGTGTCCCCGGCTCTGCGCACCCCGGGCCGCCCGCGGGCGAACCCCGCTTCCTCGCAGAAACGCCCCTCCGTCCTCAGAGCGGCCCCGGAGCTCGGGGCCCTTTTCACCCCGTTTCCTCCCCGGACACCGAGGCCGAGGACCCCGGCTTCTCACCAAAAACAGAAGCCGGCGCTCCGGCACCCGCGCCCAGGGCGGGGGGACAGGAGTGACCCCGTTCTGTTTCGGTTTTCCATGTCTTTATTGCGGTAAAATACCCGTCAATGCACCTTCCTGACCAGTGTGAAGCGGCTGCTCGGCGGCTGAAGCACACCCCGAAGGCGCGGCCTCCACCTTCCATCCCCTCACTGCCCACCGGGGAGAGCCCCGGAGCCGCAGCCACCCGCCCTGGGTCCCCCGCCCGCCCTTCCTGCTGCACCGCTCACTGCACCCCCTTCTCCGGCCCCCCACAGCGGGGTCTGCCCGCCCTGCCCCGGGGGCCCTGCACCGCTCACTGCACCCCCTTCTCCGGCCCCCCACAAAGGGGTCTGCCCGCCCTGCCCCGGGGGCCCTGCACCGCTCACTGCACCCCCTTCTCCGGCCCCCCACAGCGGGGTCTGCCCGCCCTGCCCCGGGGGCCCTGCACCGCTCACTGCACCCCCTTCTCCGGCCCCCCACAGCGGGGTCTGCCCGCCCTGCCCCGGGGGCCCTGCACCGCTCACTGCACCCCCTTCTCCGGCCCCCCACAGCGGGGTCTGCCCGCCCTGCCCCGGGGGCCCTGCACCGCTCACTGCACCCCCTTCTCCGGCCCCCCACAGCGGGGTCTGCCCGCCCTGCTCCGGGGGCCCTGGACCCAGGGGGAAATGGGGGACAGAGACGGCCCCCCAAGGCCCTGAGAGGGAAGAGCAATGGGAGAGGCTCCTGGGGGTGGGCCCTGGGGGGGTGGGCCCTGGGAGGGTGGGCCCCAGAGGAGGGGTCCAGGGGGGTGAGCCTGGGGGGAGGTATCCAGGGGGAGGGGCGCGGGGTCTGTCGGAGGGGAGCGGGGCTGGAATGACAAAGTAACCATTGTCCCGGGAGCACAACAACAAGGCTGTTTACCTCAGTCCTGCGGCCTCAGGACCCGGAGCAGCGGGGGTGGGGGTGGGGGTGGGGGGCTCCCTGCTCCCAATTCTCTCACTGGCTGCCTGTGGGGACCCCCTGCCCCTTCCCGCCTCTGTAGTGAGCGGTGTTACCCGCTTTTCCCTCTGGGTCCTCACCTGAGAAATGGGAGGATAGCATCCGCACCCTGGATCCCCAGGCTGGGGGGGGGGGGGGTGAGAGGAGATCATCCTAAAATGTTTCCTACACTGCAGCGTTCCAGCTCCTAGGCCTCCCGCTCCCTGGGGGCTCCTAAGACTTTGTGATCCTTTCTTTGATCCCCCGCCCCCAATCTCATTGTCTCCCGGCCCCACAGAGTCTGGGTGGCACTCCCCTCCCCAATAACCACGGAGTCCTCCCTGCAGGAGCCAGACGCCTAAAAATAGGGCCTCTCTGCACATTCAGTGCCGATGGGCAAGCGGACGGGGAGGCCATGACACCGTCTCAGGGGCCCAGGCTCTCAGGGCCCCAGGGTCTTAGGGCCCCAGGGTGTCAGGGGCCCAGGGTGTCAGAGCTTGGGGGGGGGGGGCCTGTGTGTGAGAACGCCTCCAGAGGGTCTGTTCGCGGAAGGCACAGTGCCAGGCACATAGTAGGTGGTCAGTAAACATTAGCATAACTGGTGGAGGGGGGAGGACAGTTGGGGAAGGGCAGGGGGTAGGAAGGCCCAGGGAGGGGTAGGTGAGATGATCCTTGAGATGATATGCTGACCCTGGACAGGAGGAGGAAAACCACTTTTGAATAAGAATTGGCCCCTGTGGGCTGAAACCGGTTTGGCTCAGTGGATGGAGCATCAGCCTCCGGTTTGCGGGCACATCCGTCGTGGGGATTGTGCAGGAGGCGGCTGATCGATGTTTCTCTCTCATTGATGTTTCTAGCCCTCTAGCCCTCTCTCTTCCTCCCTTTTAAAAAAAATCAATAAAAACATTAAAAATAATTTTAAAAAAGAATTGGACTGCGGGATTCTCCCCAGTCCACAGCAGGCCTCGGGGCAGGTGAGTGGCAATAACAGCAATGATGGCCACCACCTATTCAGGTCCCCAATCTCAGGACTAAGCACCTTTTCTGACCTGGAATCCTTATCACTGCTGCCTGGAGCTGGCCATCCCCCTCCCCCCACTGAGCACCAGAGCACCCCCAGGGGTCACCTGGGTGGCCCCACGTGCCCCTGCTGGCCCCTGCAGGGTAGGTCTCCCCCCCCCCACCCGCTCCCATTGCACCTCTAAAACCCTGATGCCCTCCTCCCTGTGACATACAGTTGGGCCGGCTTCCTGTCACCCCAAAGCAGGCCCGGGGTAGAACGGGGGTGATGTTTTCTCTCTGAGGCTACACAGCCCGGAAACTGGAGGGCGGAGGCTTGAACCCGGGTCTCTCCGGCCCATAGCCTTTTCTGGGGAGGAAAGCTGCAGCCTGGCGGGGAGCAGGGCCCAGGGCAGCGGTAAGGACGGGCCAGGCGTCCAGCGCGGGGCCTGGCACTCAGCAGGTGGTGAGTCAACCAGGGGCTGCCAGCAAGGGGTCCCAGTAGGAACTGCGGAGGAGTCTGACAGCTTCACCAAAGAAACTGTATCTCAGAGATGCATAGCCTAGCACCATGGTCGGCAAACCTCGACTTGTGAGCCACATGCGGCTCTTCCACAAAATGCCACGGCCTGGGCGAGTCTATGTTGAAGAAGTGGCGTTAGAAGAAGTTTAAGTTTAAAAAATGTGGCTCTCAGAAGAAATTTCAGTCGTTGTGCTGTTGGTATTTGGCTCTGATGAGTTTGCCGACCGCTGACTAGTAAGTGAAATAAGACATTTCACAATCAGTATGCCCAGTTCCATCCCAGGTTTTGTTGTTTGTTTGTTTTTGTTTTTGTTTGATTTGTATCTGTAAAGCTTGGAAGGAAACAAAGTGGAACCTCGTTTCTCGAACTTCGTTTGTTCCGGAGGGCTGTTCCTGAGAGGCAGGGGGAGGGATGGGGAGACAGAAACACGGAGAGAGAGAAACCTCACTGACAGGCTGCCTCCTGCGCGTGGCCTGACCTGGAGTCGAACGTGTGACCTCGTGGCTCCTGAGTGGAAGCTCAACCACCGAGCCACGCACGACTCCCTGCCGTGACCTTCCTTACACACAGACACGGCTGATGGCGTCGGAGAACCAGGTTAGATGGCCCGGCGCTCCGGAAGGAAAGGTGAGTGAGCAGTGGTGGTGGTCTCTGAGCCGTGAAGGCGTGGTGGGTCAGTGTTTCTCCTTTTGTTTTCCCAAAATCTTCTGTATCTGAGCGTATTAACCTGCTAATCAGAAAAATACCGATTTCTTTTCAAAGAGGAAGAGCCCCGACCAGCGTTGCCCAGTGGTTCGAGTGTCAGTCTGTGCCTGGGAGGGTTTCAGGTTCGAATCCCGATAAGGGTGCGTATCCGGGTTGCAGGCTTGATCCCCAGCCCTGGTCGGGGCAACTTATTGCTGTGTCTCTCACACAGACATCTCTCTCTTAGTCTTTCTCTTTCTCTATCTCTCCTATCTCTCTCTCCCCCTCCTCCCTCCCTTCCACTCTCTTTAAAAATCAATAGAAAAAATATCCTCGGGGGAGGATTAAAAAAAGCAGAAGTAGAAGAAGAGGAAGAAAAGCAGGTCTGGTCTGGTCCGGAGCAGTGGGAATGCCCGGAAGGGGACAGGTGAGGGCTTCCAGGAGAGGACAGCAGAGCCAGCCCTGAGGAGGCCACGCCCAACCAGGAAAGGCTCGGCAGGAGGGTGCCGAGGGAGCCGTGGCAGGGCTGGCACAGGCCAGGAGCCAGATCTCAGGAACCATGTGGGTGGGTATTGGAGAGATGGCGCCCAGGACTCCTGGACAGGGCTCAGTGGATAGAGCATCGGCCTGCGGACTCAAAGGTCCCAGGTTCGATTCTGGTCAAGGGCATGCACCTTGGTTGCGGGCACATCCCCAGTAGGTGTGCAGGAGGCAGCTGATGGATGTTTCTAACTCTCTATCCCTCTCCCTTCTCTGTAAAATATCGATAAAATATATATTTTTTAAATGGTTGTGAGGGTGGCAGACAGCGCCTAGCGGTCGTCACTTCTGTCCGAGGTCACTCAGGATGGGGGCCTCTGCGTCCCCTCCTTCACTCTGAGGGCAGAGCAAGGGCTGGGCAGGGAGGGCAGGGCGAGGGCTGGGCAGGGAGGGCAGGGTGAGGGCTGGGCAGGGAGGGCAGGACGAGGGCTGGGCAGGGAGGGCAGGGTGAGGGCTGAGCTTTGTGCCCAGGTCCTGGCTGCTGAGGCCAGGCTGGGCGAGCTCGGCTGGGAGTTGTGGTCCGGTGTAGGCCCTAACCCTGCACAGGTGGGGGCCGGCACTCATGTCCCATGGACATAATGTGGCAGAGGGGTGCTCTGGCAGCCGATGCCAGGGGGTGGCTCTGGCCGGGCTCCCGATCTGGTTTGACTCGCCCACCCTGGGGATAGCGGGCGGCCATGGAGGGACCCTCGGGAGAGGTACAGCCGGCACCACTGAGGGCTCCGTCCTGGCAGTGCGTCTTCCGGCCCCAGTCAAGCCTTCAGCTGACACCAGCCTCACGGAAACCCTGAGCCACCCAGCCCTCAGCTCCTGGCTCCCTCCACAGTGAGGATAACAGATGTCCACGGTCGCTCAGAGGCACTGGGCTGCCATGGTTTGTTAGACAGAAACG